TGGTGGTGGCGGTAGCTGCCGTCCCTGGAACTGTTGGTTGGGGTCCTTGTAGGGCTTCAGTAGCTGGACATGGAAAGCGTTGTGAAGCTTCCATGTATCTGGTAAGCGCAAGCGGAATGTAACTGGTGTCACCTGTGCCTCCATGAGAAATGGACCACAGAAGCGAGGCCGGAGTTTGGATGGGAGGTGAGACAGGTTCAAGTTGCGCGTGTCAAGAAGCACCTGATCTACGACTGCTACTGAGTGATCTCGTCGTTGTCGATCGGCATACTGCTTCTGGGAGGTCTGCATCGTGGCAAGTCGTCGCTGAGTCTTCTCCCATAGCTGCTGCATGGTGGTGACGAAGTTGTGTGCGGCTTGGACATGTGCCGGTGTGGTTGGCTGCTGTGGTGTAAGTGGTTCCCGTTCGTAACACAGGAAGAAAGGAGTTTTCCCTGTGGCCGCATGTGACACGTTGTTGTAAGCGAACTCTAATGTCGGTAACTGTGTGTCCCAGTGGCTGACGTCGTCTTTGCAAGCTGTGCGCAGTAACTGTTCAACCACCTGATTGAGTCGCTCTGTCTGTCCGTCTGTCTGTGGGTTTGGTCCCCAATAATCCCATGAGCTCCTTCCAGAACTTACTCGTGAATTTGGGGTCTCTATGTGAGATGAGTGTAGCGGGGATGCCGTGGATGGTGATGATGCGGTCAAAGATGAGGCAAGCAGTTGCTTCAGCTGTAGCTGTGGCGTTGGTCGGTATGAAGTGACCCATTTTGGAGAAATTATCGATCACTACGAGGATGGAATCGTGCCCCCGTGAGGTCGAAGGAAGTCCTGTGATGAAGTCGAGACTAACGATCTGCCATGGCTGCTCCGGTACGGGTAGAGGCTGAAGTAACCCTGCTTTTTTCTGCTCGCTGGCTCTTCATCTGCTGCACGTCTGCTGCCATCCCGGGCTAGTAGTAATACTTTGCTATCCCTGCTAATGTCTTGTTGCTCCCGAAATGTCTTGTTGCTAAGGTACGTCGTGAAACTCCTCCAATAGGATTTGCCGTAGCGGGGCGTAATTCGGTACCCAAATCTTTCCTGAACCCTTTCTTATAGCTAAGTCTTTCTCCTAGTGTAACAGCTTCTTAGTTTGTGCTGTAGTGATATCTGCATCCACGGAGTACCCATGGTGGAATAGACCCTTGAGTAGAGGGTTCATCCCGTCGAGCTGGATGCCTGCTACATGGCCGGGGCGGCTCAACGCGTCTGCCTTGTTGTGTAGCCCGGGCTTGTAGACGATGTCGTAGTGGAAGTGAGTTTCCAGAAAGTCCATCCACCGCATCTGTTGTCATGAGAGCGTCGGCTGTGACTTCAGGTATTTGAGACTGCACTGGTCAGTATAGACTGTAGTCTTTGCTCCCTCTAGGTAACACCTCCACGCCTTGAAGGCTATGACTATGGCTAAGGATTCCTTGTAGTGTATGGGATAGTTCACTTCTGCTCCGTTTAGCTTCTTACTGAGGTAGGCGATAGGCTGTAACCCGTTCCCGTGGTCTTGCATCAGTACTGTTCCGACTGCGTGGTCACTAGCCTCTGCTTCCACCACGTAGTTCTTGTCTGGATCCGGTAGGATGAGTACTGGCGCTATAGTCAGTGCTGTGTGTATCTGCTCCATGGCTTGCTGATGAGGAGTATCCCATTTGTAGGGCGTATCCTTTTTCAATAGGTCGGTCAGTGGCGCTGCTATCTTAGCGTGCTGTGGCACGAACCTGTTGTAGTAGTTGGCGAAGCCTAGGACCTGCTGCAACTCTTTCACGTTCTCCAGTACTTTCCACTTCTTGACGGCTTCGATCTTCCGCGAGTCCACGTGTACGCCCTCGGCACTCACCATGTGCCCGAGAAACTGCACCTTCTTCAGGGCGAAGTCGCTTTTCGACAGCTTCACGTTGTTTTTCCGCAGGATCTCGAACACTTTCCGTAGATGCTCCACGTGCTCCTTCTTGTTCTTGGAGTAGATAAGAATGTTGTCCAGGTACACCACTACGCACTCGTCCAGCAGGGGTCGTAAGATGTGATTCATCTCCGCCTGAAACGTTGCTGGTGCGTTGCAGAGTCCGAACGGCATCACCAAGTATTCGTAGGAGCCGTATCTGGTACGGAACGCCGTCTTGTGGACCGAATTGTCTGCCATCTTGATCTGCCGGTAACCCGACCGTAGGTCCAGCTTCGAAAAGACGGTTGCACCACGCAGTTGGTCCAGTAGGTCGTCTATGCGCGGTATGGGATATTTGGTTTTTACTTGTCTGTTTGTTCAGTGCGCGGTAGTCGATGCACATCCGTAAACTGCCGTCTGGTTTTGGAGTGAAGAGAACTGGTGCATCGTAGGGAGAGGTGGATGGGCGGATTAGTTGTCTATCCAGTAGATACTCTATCTGTTTCTTCATGTCTGTCAGTCGGACTCAGTCGGCATGGTGCACGTGAGACGGGTTTCGCACCTGGTTCCTCCACGATCTCGTGCTCGTGGGTGCGTGCTGGAGGTACGCCTGCGGGTAGGTTTTCGTGCATTATATCCTTATACTGCTCCAAGACCTCCTTCACTGCTGCAGGTAGCTCCGAACTCGGCTTCTCCTCCTCTGCTGCTGCCATAACAAGTGCTAAGTAACCCGTGTTGCTCTCGTTCACCGTCCGTTTGAACCGTGCCAGTGTCATTTCAGGAACGCTCCCTGTATCCGTCCAGCTTCGCAGTGCTATCCGCTTCCCGTTGTTGTAGATGCACGCCTTCCTGTTGACCCTGTCGATCTCGGGGTTGAACCGCTTCAAGAAATCTCGCCCCAAGATGAAATCTGATCCCTTGATGTTCGTGATCGGCAACGTCGGCTTCCACCTCAGCGCCCCTATGTGTAGCTGCAGTGATGCTTCGTCGTGGATGGGAAGTTTCGTACCGTCCACCATCGTTGCCGTGAACTTGGTCTCCTCCGAAGGTTCTCCAATTTTCTCCAACGTCCCGCTGTCGCACACCAAGTTGTCAGGCATATATGCTATAGTCTGTGTAGGCTGTAGTGGGGCAGTTCATATGGGGTACAACACTTTAAGGTTTGCTACTTGTACTCCCCTTTCTGCTCAATGCATTCATTCTCGTTTCTCGTCATGGTATCGAGCAGGTTCCCTAGTGGGAACGCTACCTAGGGCCCACCACGATACTTTTTTTTTCCTGCCCGGAGCGCGCTTCACTCCTGCCCGAGTCGCGCTCTGTGTGCCCTCCCTACGTTCGAGCCGCCCTTAGTGGCCCCTCTCACGGCCCCTTTGGCCGCCCTTACGGCCCCTCGCGCCGCCCTTACGGCCCCTCGCGCCGCCCTCTACGGCCCCTCGCGCCGCCCTTACGGCCCCTTACGGCCCCTTAAGGCCCCTTGCGACGCCTTTACGGCCCTCGCGCGGCCCCTTTCGGCCCCTCGCGGCGCCCTTTCCGGCCCCTTACGGCCCTGTCTAGGCCCCTTGCGACCCCGCTACGGCCCCGTCTAGGCCCCTTACGGCCCCTCCGTGGCCCCGTCTAGGCCCCTTGTGGCCCCGCTACGGCCCCGTCTAGGCCCCTTACGGCCCCTCCGCGGCCCCGTCTAGGCCCCTTGCGGCCCCGCTACGGCCCCGTCTAGGCCCCTTACGGACCCTCCGCGGCCCCGTCTAGGCCCCTTGCGGCCCCGCTACGGCCCCGTCTAGGCCCCTTACGGCCCCTCCGCGGCCCCGTCTAGGCCCCTTGCGGCCCCGCTACGGCCCCGTCTAGGCCCCTTACGGCCCCTCCGCGGCCCCGTCTAGGCCCCTTGCGGCCCCGTCGCCCCCACGTGCGGCCCCGTCGCCGCCACCAGCGGCCCCGTCGCCACCACCTGCGGCCCCGTCGCCGCCACCTGCGGCCACGCAGCCGCCACCTACGGCCTCGCCGCCACCTACGGCCGCGTCGCCGTCACCTGCGGCCCCGTCGCCCTCCCCTAGCGGCCCTGTCACCGCTCAGCCGCCCAGCGACCGAGCCGCCGAACAGCCCAGCAGCCGAGCCGCCCTGCCGCCGAGCCGCCCAGCAGCCGAGCCGCCCAGCAGCCGAGCTGTTATAGTCACAGTAGGCTCCAATTTGCCTAAAACGAAAGATAGAGTGCACAGTCGGATTTCTGCACAGCGGCTTCAAACGTTCATAGCGTTCTGGTCACAACATCAAATGACTTGATTCAACTTGGATCCGAAGCGTCTTATTCTCGCCTACACTAGGCAATTTAGATCGCACGATTTGACCAAAATTGACGACACAGCGTCGGTTTGAACGAACAGCACTATGGCAGCAACATAGTCTTAGAACACAAGATAGGAAGAGTTAGGAAGAGTTACGAGTTGGGAATGACTCCCAGCTCCTACAAACCCCAAGAGCCGAGGTACAGTGATGTGGAACAGTGCCACACTGTCCCCAACCACGAAGGGTCTCGAAACTACCCTTCACTAGGGCCTACACCAAGTGAAATGTTACACTACATAAAGTAATGTAACTATCTTCAATATCTTGAGGTGCACCCTTTTGGCGAGCTTCAAAATCACTTGAGGCTTGACACCAAGGCTCGGGCTCTTCATCACAAACTCATCCTTGAGTTCTTGATGGGTCTTCTACACACACCTGCGACACGCCGAACGTTCGACACAAGACAAAATAAAAACCGCGCACGACAAAATAGAAACCGCGTGCGAGACACAAACGACCGCGTAACACGCGTCTAGCGATAACTCGCTATTGACTCGACACACACACTCGACATCATGACTCAACATTCACACACAATTATAAGCATGAAATATATATTATCCCATGCCCTCATACCATTCCATACACACACACACATGCACGCACACGGACAACAAGCCGAGTGCAAACCGTAGGGTTGCACCAACACGAGCCGCCCTGCCGCCGAGCCGCCCTACTGTCGAGCCGCTACTGTTCCTACCGGTGCTCCCCGGCCCTCTTTCCTCGGACTGGTGAGCTCACTTCCTGCTAGGCCACTACAGTCATGGCTACCCCCAGTGTCCTTACTTTTGATGCTGAGGGCCGTGCCGTTGACTTTGAGGTCTGGGTCGATGACCTCCAGCTGTTTCTCCAGTGCGATAGGGCAGACGGACTCTGTCTGTTCGATCTCACCTCTGGTGTCTCTCCTGCCCCGCCTGCCACTGCTGACAGCACTATTCGCTCACAGTGGGCCACACGCGATGCTGCTGCTCGCCTTGCTGTGCGTCGCCACTTACCGACCACTGAGCGTGCACACTTCAGCCAGTACAAGAGTGCTCAGACCTTGTACGACGCTGTAGTTGCACGCTACTCTTCCCTTGCCACTGCTGCACTGAGCCGACTCATGCTACCGTACCTCTTCCCTGACCTTGCTGCCTTTCCCACAGTCGCTGACCTCATTACGCACCTCCGCACTAGTGACACTCGCTACCGCGCTGCGCTTCCTGCTGAGTTCTGCGCCAAGAACCCCCCCCCCCCCATGTACATCACCCTTTACTACATAGTCACCCGGCTCCCTGACTCTCTTCGCGTAGTCAGGGACCACTTCCTCTCAGTTTGCCCCACCACTCTCACCGTTGACCTCCTCGAGAAGGGCCTCCTAGCAGCAGAGAAGAGCATAGTCGCTGTAGGAGCCTCTCGTGGTGACCCTTGCACCCCCGTCTTTGAGGGGTGTTCCCCCTCCCCCCTTTTGCCCTTTGTTGCTTCTGCTGCTGCGGCCGACCTCGTTGGTTTCGAGTCGGTCGGCGCTGCGTCTGCCCCGAGCGGGAGACGCCGCCACCGGCAAGGGCAAGGGGGGGCAAGGGCGCTGGAGGGGCTGGCAGGGGCGGTGGAGGTGGTGGTGGAGGCAGTGGAGGGGGTGGGGGTGGTGGTGGGAGTGGTGGCGGGGGTGGCGGCGGCAGCGGCAGCAGTGGAGGCGGAGGAGGCGGCGGTGGTGGCGGAGGGAGCGGAGGCGGCGGAGGTGGCGGAGGAGGCGGAGGTGGAGGAGGCGGCGGAGGCGGCGTCGGCAGCAGTAGACCTGGTCGTGGCTCTGCGCAGAGGAGTGGCTCCGGTGGTGGTACGCGCCAGCAGCAGTAGAGCAGTCGTGAGACCCTGTCCCCTCAGCAGCTTCGTGAGTGGTACGCTGCGCGTCAGCGCGGTGGGGGTACGGGTCCCTGCACCTACGTTCTCCGCACCGGCGACCGCCCTGGTGAGCAGTGCGGGGGCCCGCACTCCACCCAGCGCTGCTTCGGCCGCCTGACGGACGCGTGGCGTCACCAGTTCCCTGGGGCCTCTGAGATCCCTCGCTGGGAAGAGCTGTCTAGGGCGGGGGTTGCTATCTTTGATCTTGACTATGATGCTATTCTTGCTGCCATGTATGCTGTTGATGATAGTGTTGCGGGTGACTGTTACCTGTGTGTACCGCCTGACCTGGGCATTGAGGCTGCTGCTCTAGGTGCTCGTGCGATTGCTGCCCAGGTGCCAGTGCGTCTGTTGCCCCAAGTGCTGGTGAGTCTGCGCTCTCAGGTACTACGTTGACTCAGGCCTTACACACCTTAACCCTTGACTCGGGTGCTTCCCGCTCCTTCTTTTGAGACCGCACCACTCTTACGCCGCTCAGTCGGCCGGTTGCAGTCTCCCTGGCGGACCCCTCTGGGGGTCCTGTCCTTGCTAGCTTCTCCATTGTCGTACCGTGCCCGGCAGCCCCCTCTGGCACCCTGTCAGGTCTCTACCTCGCCTCGTTCTCTACGAACTTGGTGAGTGGAGCGGACCTACAGGATAGGGGGGTTGACCAGTTCACTCCTGCGAGTCAGCGAGTGACCCACTGCACGTGTGCTCGGACAGGCCGACACTTGGCCACGTTCACCCGTCGGCCAGGGTCGAGCCTGTACACCCTTACTTACTGCGTCTCCTCCGGCTGCTGAGTTTGGCCAGGTAGCTGCGTCGAGTCAGGTGTTTGCTGTAGCGTCCAGGTCTGGTCCTGAGTCTGCTCCCTGCTCGTGTCGTCTACTGTCCCACCAGACTCTCCTTTGGCACCACCGCCTTGGTCACCCCTCCCTGCCTCGTCTCCGAGGCATGGCCTCCCGTGTCCTTGTCTCTGGTCACCCTCGATCTCTCCCTCCCCTACCTATGGGGCCTGGCCCTACCTGCGTCCCCTGTGTCGAGGGGCGACAGCGCGCCGCCCCTCACTCCTCCGAGTTTCCTCCGACAGAGGCTCCGCTGCAGACTCTCCACATGGACGTGTGGGGCCCCGCCTTCGTCAGTGGGCAGGGGCGCGAGCGGTACTTCCTGCTGGTGGTTGACGACTACTCGCGTTACACCACAGTCTTCCCCTTGCGCAGCAAGGGTGACGTCACTGAGGTGTTGATCGATTGGATCCGCGTAGCTCGTCTCTAGCTCAAGGAGAGTTTCGGCTCGGACTTTCCTGTTCTGCGTCTGCACTCGGACAGAGGCGGGGAGTTTTCCTCTGCCCGTCTGGGAGCTTTCTGTCGTGCGCAGGGCAATTCGCCAGACCTTCACGCTTCCGGCCTCTCCACAGCAGAATGGGATTGCTGAGCGCCGCATTGGCATGGTCATGGACGTCGCTCGTACGTCCATGATGCATGCGGCTGCCTCCCATTTTCTGTGGCCGTTTGAGGTTCAAAAACGCCGCGCATCAGCTTAACCTTCAGCCCCAGGTCTCCTTGCCAGAGACCTCCCCCGCCTTGCGGTGGACCGGGAAGGTTGGCGATGCGTCTGCGTTTCGGGTCTGGGGATCTCGGGCGTTTGTCCGCGACTTGTCTGCGGACAAGCTGTCCCCCCGTGCTATTCCTTGCGTCTTCCTTGACTTCCCCCGTGACGCGCCTGGGTGGAAGGTTTTACCACCCCATCTCGCGCCGTGTTCTGTCCTCCCAGGACGTCACCTTTGACGAGTCGGTGCCTTACTACCATCTCTTCCCCTACCGCACTGCGCCCCTCCCCCCGCCGCTGCTCTTCCTTGCGCCAGGTCCTCCCCCGGTAGACCCCCTCTCCCCTCACGGTCCTGCCCCGTCAGGTGTGTCCCAGGTAGACGCAGTCGAGCCTGTCGAGGTAGCTGTTGACTCTGGTGCTGCTAGAGGTGCTGAGCCTGCGGGTGCCGAGTCTGGGGGTGCTGAGACTGGGGGTGCTGAGACTGAGGGTGCTGAGTCTGGGGGTGCTGAGTCTGGGGGTGCTGAGCCTGGGGGTGCTGAGCCTGGGGGTGCTGGGTCTGGGGGTGCGGAGCCTAGGGGTTCAGAGCCTGGGGCACTGGGTCTGCTCGTGTGGCTGCCGGCGGTGCTTCGTCGAGGCGGGAGCCGCTCTCTCCACAGGAGCTGCGCGAGTGGTTTGCCCGCCGCTTGGGACGTACTGCTGGAACTAGAGGTGCTCCTGTTGCTGGTGGTCCCGAAGGTGCTGGTACTGGCGGTCCTGGAGCTGCTGGGGCCACTGGAGTTGGTCTTGCTGGAGCTGCTGGTGGTGCTGGTGCTGCAGGAGCTGGAGCTGCTGGGGGTGTTGGTGTTAGTGTTTCTACTGGCGCTGGTGCGTCTGGGGGTGCTGCTGAGGCTGCTGGAGCTGGAGCTGCTGGGGGTGTTGGCGCTGGCGGTACTGCTGGCGCTAGTGCTTCTGAGGGTGCTGGAGTTGGCGCTGTTGGAGCTGGAGGTGCTGCTGGCGCTGGTGCTGCCGCTGAGGGGTACTGGTGCTGTCCTTGCTGGTTCTGGAGGCGCTGCGCGGCCCAGGCCGTACTTCGTTCCGCTCCTGGAGCAGGTTCTTGGTCTCCCGCCCTCTACTGGTCCAGCTCCTCCCTTAGAGTGTCCACAGCCTGTCCAGTCCCAGTCACAGTTACAAGCCCGCCTCCCCTCTACCTGCTCCTTCTCCCTACACTGGTCCCTACTGGAGGTCTTGGTGAGCGTCGTGAGCCTGCGTCTCGTCCTGCGTCGCCTGTTCGTGCTACTCGCACTAGTGGTCGTACTGCGCGTCCGTGTCCTCCTGCGGTCCCCGGCACACACCAGATGGCGCTGCGTCCTTCCACTGCTCGTCTGCGTGTCCCCGTTACCGTCTCCTCCAGAGTCCTCTCTTCCTACTCTTGCTTACCCGGACTCTGACTCTCTTCTTGCTGCTAGTCCTTCTGTCACACGTCTTCTGGCTGCTGTTGTCACTGACCCTTCCTTTGAGTCCACTGCTGCGTCTGCCCTAGTTGCTGAGCTTGTCGACTTCGCTGCTCGCTCTCGTCTAGACTACGCTGCTAGTCTCGTTGTGAGAAAACTGAAACGAGAATGAATGCACTATGAAAGAGTTGGGTACAAGTACTAACCCTAATTCGGTTGTACCCGATATAGGCTACCCCACTACAGCCTACACAAAAGCATAAGCTATAATGTACTGACAACACCCCCATAGGCAAAGTGGGGGAGTACAAGGGGTCACAAGACCAGTCAAGCAAAGCAAAGCAAAGCAAGCTCAGGGTGGATCACAAAGTCACCACACATTCCAAGCACAAGGTCAAGGCCACAAGGCCAGTTCACATGCAGGAGTACATATATATATAAAAGGCTAGACAAGCAAGAGCAGGTGTATATATATATGTAACAGTACAAGCAAGGTCAAGAGGTGAGCAAGTGAGGCAAGGCAGGCACAAGACCCAGCTGAGTACAGAAGCGCTGATGATCACAAGATGCAAGCGCCTTGGTGAAAGATATCAGCCGTGTTGGCCTCAGAGGCCACGTACGCAAGACGCAGCTGACCACGCTGCTGCAGCTCACGAGCAGGAAGTAGCGGCAGAGCAATGTGCTTCGTTCTGTGCTCCAGTCTCTGCTTCGACACAAGGCCAGCATGGCCGTGTGTCTACGTACAGCACTGGAGGAGAACGAGGCGGCTCTCCGAGGTCAGTAGCAGGTAGG